GCCTTGGCTGTCGTCAGTAACGCTGCGGTGAGCGTGGGGGTGCAGGTATCTTTTTGGATCAGCGTCTTCATTTTCCCTGGATAAATCCCCAGGACTGGAGTTCCTGGGTCTTACAGGAACTGTCACCTTCCGAGGCACCTCCACCTGGGCTCCATCCACGGTGGCCACACTGGGTTGCGTTCCCTCCAGCGGCGCGCGAGGGCTCCCTTTCTCCACGTCCTCGCCGACACTTGCGGTTTCTTATCTTTTCTTGCTCGAGCCTTCGTGACAGGCGCGCGGCGCTATCTCACCGCGGTTCCGATCCGCGTCGCCCTGATGGCGAGCACCCTTCTGGGTGTCTGTGGGCCGTCACGTCTTCTCTAGAGAAATGTTTGCTCAAATTCCTCACCTATTTTCCAGTTGGGTTCTTTGTTAGAACTTGTTTGTAGGATGATGCCGGATCACACCGGTAACACCGCTGAGAGCCACCCCTAACACCCAGCACCGGGGAGACCCACAGGAAGGGCCCAAGTCTGGCCCGAAACTCGCGGGATGACGCGGGTCAGGGTGGGGGGCTAGTTGGACGCTTGGACCCGTGAGGTCCGTGTCTCAGCTTTGGCAGGTGGCAAATGCTTGGGTCTGTCCTCTGGTCTCAGCACCCGCCCTGGCCCACCGGCCCCTCGGCCATGAAGCTGGCACCGGCCGGGGTGGGAGGGGTCCCCCCGTCCCTCTGGCTTGACTGTGGTCTCCGAGAGCTCCTCTCAGAGGACAGCCTCTGTCCTTGTATCTGCAGGGCAGAGCTCAGGGCCGCACACCCTCAGCGTCCCGGCCTCCCGGCCTGCATCCTTGACCTGCTGCACACCTGGGGTCACACAGGCACCACGTGGAGCTGGCCGAGAGGGCCCCTGGGCTGGCTGTGCTATCGGCGGGGGAGCCACGTGGCTTCCACAGGGGTGGTGGGTGCGGCTCCCAGGGGGTGGGGGGTATTGAGCTGGACCGAGGAAGGGTAAGGATCCAGAGTGGGGAGCTGGGGGGAGGGGAGCACCTGGGGTGTGGGCCAGCCGCGGGCCAATGGGAGGCTCTCAGGATAGGGTAGGGGGGTGGGGCCCTGGGAAGGGGGCCACAGACCCCGACCCTCTGGTGTGGAAAGTGGGGAGCGACAGCAGAGGCTTGAGCAGTGAGCCTGGGGGGAGGTGACAGCTGTTGGCAGGCTCTGGGCGCCCTTTAGTTCACCTTTGGGGCTTGCTTAGGGCCTGGAAAACAAAGACAGAAGAGTCTGGGGCCTGCTCCTGCCAGGGTGGAGAAAACTCAGGGCACAGAGGGTGGCCAGGGTGGGGGGTCACCCTTCCCGGGTCTGGGCCACTGGGGCCGGAAGCTGGCCTCCCTTAGCCCGGAACTAATGAGCTTGCTGTGGTCCGGGGGGACGTCATACCTGAATCAGGGGTGACACCACGGGATGACAGAGGTCAGTCCTCATGCAGGCTCCCCGCCACCGGTCTCTGCAAGTGGACGGTCAAGGCCAGTCACAGCCCCGCAGCAGCCTCCAGCCCTCCTGTGAAAACATTCCAAGGCCCCTGCTGGGCCACAGCCCCCGCCGGAGCCCAGGCCAGTGGACAGGTGGCTTCAAGAGAGAGCAGTGGGCCGGGCTGGCCAGCAAGCCTGCCCGTGGGGTGCTTGAGCCACGGCGAGCCCCCCGCAGCCCCAGCACACAGCACCCAGCTCTGAGGGCCTGGCTGTGGCCTTGACCCTGAGTGCCACCCCACCCAGCACTCCAGGCAAACATCCGTCCCACCGCCTCATGCCCCGTCCCCATCCCCTCCCAGCGTGCGGGCAGCATGGCACCTCGAGCTCAGCCCCGCCCGGGGCCTGGGCCTCGCTTACACACGGTGAGCGCCCCATGCGGCCCGCCGGGCCTCGCGCTGCATTCCAAACTCAAACAGGATTTGAGGATTAGCATTGCTTTAAATTATTCCTACACCTCACCCCTCCAGGGGGGAGTCCGTGTTCTCAGGCGGCCAGCCCTGGGAGAGCGGGGGTAGCTCCGGACCAGGTTCTCCCCACGAGTGAGACGAAGATGATTCGGGTCTCAGCAATCAGCAATCCCTGATAGTTCGTTATCTTGAGGTCTTTCAGAAGACGTTTCTTGTGCTTTGAGTCTACGCGGGGCACAGCTGAGGAAGGGATTTAAATGGTAAGAATTGCATGAAAACAAGAACGAAAACTATGGAATGACTGATAAGCCGGATGGTGTGTGGATGTGCAGGCAGAGCGGGGAGGGAGGCCCCGAGGACGGCTCTTCTGGGGACCCCCTAGTGGCCAGGTGACCCCTTCTCCACAAAGATGCCGGTGCCCGTGTCTCCACTTGGGGAACGCGGAGGTGACAGCCAAACCCTGGAGGCCCGTGGTGCATTCAGACCTCGCCCATCACGGGCTCCTCCCGCCTGCCGGGACCCGGCAGGGCCGGGTTCTTGGGGGACACGTGAACAGGACGGAGCCTTGCGAGCGGGGGGCCGTCGGCCCCGCTCTCTCGTTCGCCCGGTGGACCCACACTGAGCGCCAACCGGGGCAGGCCCTGGGTTGTGGGGCTGCGGAGCAGGGGATGGGCGGTGCACGTGGCCACTGCCCCCGTGAGGTCACACGCCCCCTGCCCCCTCCAGGGCACGCACGACGCCCTCCCCCCCCCGAAGGATTCAGTGTTATGAACACAACTTTTTTGCAACAGGAAAGAGGTAAACTCTCCTAGGCTTCCCCCCGTATCCACTGAGCTTCTCCCAACACTGGGGGCAGTGTCCCGCCACCCCCTCGTGGCGGGGAGGGCAGGGGTGCGCTACGGACCAGGACCTGCCCTGTCACCCCGTGAGGCCCCCTGCCAGGGCCGGACTCCAGGGGCAGGAGGATCAGCATTGCCGTCTTCGTCCGGCTCCTTCCCCTGAGCCGGCGGTCTGGCCACTGACACGTCACGCCTTCCCCCCGGACCCCATCGTGGTCCTGGCCTCCACGGTCGTCCTCCGCGTGGGCTCCAAGGGGCAGGTTTTTGGGCCACCCCAGGGCCCATCCCTGCTGGGGCAGGTGTCAGAACCTCCTTCCTTATAAGGCTGAGTGATATTCCCTCGTACAGATGGCCCCCATCAGGGTTTGGGGGGACAGCGCTGAATCTCTACATCACTCTGGTGCCGGCAGCTTCTCTGCGGTCCAGGACGGGGGCTGTGCCTCCCTCCTTTCATTTCTTGGCATGATATCTTCAGGTTTCACCGCACCCGGCTTTTGCCTCCTTTGTTAACTCACAACTCCCGGATTCCTTCTGATGCGCCTGTAAACGGAATTGTTTTAGTCGTTTCTTTTAAAGATCGTTCGCGGTTGGTAGAAACGATACATTGTTAACTCACAACTACCGGGTTCCTTCTGATGCTCCTGTAAACGGAATTGTTTTAGTCGTTTCTTTTAAAGACCATTCGCGGTTGGTGGAAACGATACAAGTGACACAGAAATGCAGTTGCTTCGTGCTTCTTGACTCGCACCCGCCTTGCTGAATTCTGCAACCATCTACCCGGCGTGTTGTGTGTGCCTGTGTGATCTTTGCAGTTTTCTACACGTAAGTTCACATCCCCTGCGAGCAGAGATGGTTTTGCTTGTCCTTTCCGATTGCGATGGCTTTTCTCTCTCTTCCGCGCTCAGCCGCTCTGGCTGTGTTGTTTAGCACAGCGTCAAATGCGATGAAGGAAAAGCTCCCGTCGATGTAGCGTGTGCTGTGGGGTTTGCAGGTGTGGCTTTTATTACGTGCAGGCACTATCCCTGCGTTCCTGATTTCACTGGTTTTAGCAGGAAAAGGTGGGCAATTCTGTCACGTGCTTTGTTTGCAGCGACTCAGGTCGTGCGTTTTTACCCCGTTCTGTTGTCGTGACGGGTTGTAGCTGACCGGTCTCCCTACGCCGGGCCCCCCTTCCGACGTCAGTTCCACTCGGTCACAGTGTGTGATCTTTCCGACAGGCTACTGAGCTGGCTGCTAGTATTTTCTCGGGCGTTTCTGCACCGGTGCTCACAACGGAGGCCGATCTGGGCTCCTCGTTCCTTACACGTAGCGTCCTTGTCTGGCTTCATTCTGGCCTCGCAGGACAAGGCAGGAAGTGTTCCCCTCTTCAGTGTTTTGGAGAAACTCGGGAGCGATCGGGGTTACTTCTTCTCCAGATGTTTGGTAGGTTTCACCAGCGGAGCCGTCGGGTCCACGGCTTGTCTTTGTTGGGAGAGTTGTGCTCACCGGTGCAGTCTCCTCGCTAGTTCTGGATCCGTCAGGATTTCCCGCCCCTCCTCATCCATCTGTCCATTTCACTACATTGTCGTTTGTTTCCCTTTGAACGTGGTTTTCATACTGTCTCTCTTCACTTGTCCGCCTCGCCACCTGTCCTCGGTAGCCTGGGTGTTAGCCCTCGGGGTCCCGGCGTCCCCTCCTCGAGGTGCGCTGACTGCAGACTGAGCCCTGGCCGTGGAGCGGCTCCGCCAGAGGTGTCCTCGAGGCCTCTGCCCTCCTCCTCCTCCTCCTGCCACCCACCTCCCTCCCCTGCCCTGGGGCGCTCCGGCCCCCGGGTCCCGGCAGAGCTGACAAGTGTCCCCGGATGCTGTGTCCTTGGTGGCGTGGTGGCTGTGAGGTGAACGAGGGACCATCTCACGAGGATGGATGCTCTCTGACACGCAACTCAGGATGCACGGCCTGAGCTCTGGGGGCTCGGTGGCTTAAACGAGTGCGGCTGGAGGACACGAGCCCAGGTCGTCACGTGCCTCGGGGCCAGGCGAGGAAGCGAGACCTGAGCCGCTGCTGAGCCCGGGTGTGGATGTGGCCCGGCTGGGCCCCGGTCTGAAGAGCAGCAGGTGTCTGCTGGGGGGGGTGGGTCCGGCCTTGGGCCACTGGCCCGTCCCGGTGGGCTGCCTGCTTCCCCCCCCCCCCCCAGACCCAGGCCAGGACCCAGGCCAGCCGCTCTTGGGGGTCTCTGGGTAGAGGCCCCGGCTCACGCCCCTCTGCCCCGCAGGAGATTGTGCTGGTGGTGTTCTTTGGGACGGAGTACGTGGTCCGCCTCTGGTCGGCAGGCTGCCGCAGCAAGTACGTAGGCATCTGGGGGCGGCTGCGCTTTGCCCGGAAGCCCATCTCCATCATCGGTGAGTTGTGCCTGCACCCAGGGGAGCTTCGCGCGAGGTTTCGGGGCGCGGGCTGGCACCCTCCCCAGAAAGGGGGACCCGGCAGCCCGGGAGCGGGGCTGGGAGGTGGGCCGGGTGGGCCCGTGTGCCTGAGACGGAGGGCTGCTCTCCCGTCCGAGTGGCCCTGTCCTCCTGACCGCCAGGCCCCTTCCCCCGAGCCAGCGGCCTGGCTGTTGACATGCCACCCTTCCCCCCGCAGACCTCATCGTGGTCCTGGCCTCCATGGTTGTCCTCTGCGTGGGCTCCAAAGGGCAGGTGTTCGCCACCTCGGCCATCAGGTACACCTGGGCCACAAGCTCTCCCGGCTGGGGGTGCGAGGGCCGCGGGGCAGCGTGCTGGGTGGGGGCACGCGCTCAGGCGCCACAGCGAGGTCGGCCGCCCGGGTTAGAGACCCAGCGAGAGCACCTCTGGGCCTGGGGCTGTGACCTCCCCCATCTGGGGGCCTCAGTTTGCCCATCTGTAAACCGGGGTGATCCCAGGGCCGTGCCCAGAAGGTGGTCTGGGGACCAAAGGGATTTGGAGGTGGACAGGTCCAGCTGGGGCCTGGCGTGTCCCCCCTACCCAGCCCTGACCCTGTGCTTGGGGGGGGGGGAGCGGGGAGGCTGGCACGGCGGTGGGTGGGCAGACCCAGAGCCAGGCTTTGAGGGGCCGAGCGGGGGCCCGGGGCTGTTGTGAGGCGCCTGGGCCGGTGAGTCGGGGGCAGGGGCACAGAGGCGTCTCCCCCGCAGGGGCATCCGCTTCCTCCAGATCCTGAGGATGCTGCACGTTGATCGCCAGGGAGGCACCTGGAGGCTGCTGGGTTCTGTGGTCTTCATCCATCGCCAGGTGGGTGGTCTGGCTGGGGCGCGGGGGTCCCGGCTGTGGTGCGTGCATCCTAGCCGGCCGGGCGGACGATGTGCCCGTGTTTCTTCCAGCTGGGGACAAGAGGCTGGGGGCAGAGCTAGGGGCAGACGTCCAGGGTGGAGAGAGAACGTGAAAGCGGCAGGCGGGAACAGTCCTCCGACTGAAGACGGGCGCGTCACCACGGGTCTCGGGGCAGAGCCGGGCAGCCGGCGAGCCTGTGTAAGCCGGCCCGTCTGTCCAGGTGGCGGCCGGGGCCCGACCCTGGCCAGTGGGGAGACGGGTGGAGACGGGCCCCGCGTGGGCATGTGGACCACGTGGGATCCACGTGAAACCGTCTGGGACAGGCCGAGCTCGCACCGAGCAGGCCGCCGGCCTGTGCCGCCTGCCGGGAAGGTCACAGAGGCCTGGGCGGCCGTCAGTGCTCCGCTGACCCGCACCCCTGTGCCCGCACTGCCCCCAGGAGCTCATCACCACCTTGTACATCGGCTTCCTGGGTCTCATCTTCTCCTCGTACTTCGTGTACCTGGCCGAGAAGGACGCCGTGAACGAGTCAGGTCAAGTGGAGTTTGGCAGCTACGCGGATGCCCTGTGGTGGGGGGTGGTAAGTAGAGACAGGCGTCCCGGGCAGCGGAGGGGAGGGAAGCCACCACGGGGGCCGAGGGCACTGCGGGCTCGGGCCACGGGCTCCTCACGCGAACGTGGGGAAGGGTGCCCGCGGGAAGGTTTGCGCCGGGAGCCAGCAGCGCGGGGGCCCTCGCTCCGAGGGGGGGACCCACAGTCTACCCTTCGTCTCCGGGCACGTGCCGGGGCCGGGCCCTCTGCTGTCCTTCACCCTGGTGGGGGGGAGGCATGTGCCCTGCCGTCTGGGAGGGTTTGCGCTGGCCCCAGGACTATCCCTGCACCAAGGAGCGCCACGTTAAACGGCAAACAGCACCGTGACATGAGGGCGGGGGGACCTCCCGAGAAAGAAGTGCTCCCCTGTTCTGGCCGGGCACCAGGCCTGCCTGCGGGTGCCGTAGCTGGGCCCGGCCCGGAGAGGTGCCGGTTCCCCCCCACAGGGCCCCCAGGCTCTCCTGGCTGTGGAGATGGGCTCCTTGGGTGCACTGAGGGCAGGGCCCGGCGCCCCAGTTCCACCTGTAAGTGGCCCTGCTGGGCTGGGCAGCTCTCGGCTCCCTGGGCTGCGAGGCTGCAGGAGAGGCGGTCACAAGGGAGAGGGCCCCACGGGGCGGGGGGCGGGCAGGGGTCCTGGTGGGTCAGCCTTGCAGAGGGCCAAAGGGACATTCTGCTGAGGACCAGTCATTGCTGTGGACAGCCAGGTGAGGCCTCAGCCAGCCACGTGCGCCCTGAGTCCTGGCCGCGTCCTCGCCGTGTGGGCCGTGGAGAGACCGTTCAGGGCATGAAAGGCGCCCCTGACCACACCCTCCACCCACAGCCTGGCTTCGAGGGGAGGGGGGTTCCAGGCACTTGACTGCGGGTGGACCCGGGCCCGGGATCAGCACACACAAGGCCCCGAGGCAGCCCGGGGCGGACGCGTGCTGTGGGGAGAGACAGGGGTGTGGGCCACGGGCCGGGCCCCCACACTCCCCAGCTTTCCGTGGGGTACGGTGCTCCCTCCTTCAAAGTGCTCTGGGGTGTGAGCAGCCAGTGCCCGGGAGGGCCTCCCACGGGGCCAGGAGCAGGGGTCAGGGAGACAGCAGTGGACACCGACCCCTGCTTCAGGCTGAGTGCGGCTGCGCGGGGAGGGGAGCCCCTTGGAGCTGGGGGTGCGGCGGCCGATGTCTGGGCTGATTGGGGAGGGGCTGAGGAGAGGGTCCTGGCCTTCACGGGGTGTGGTGACGCCTCGGGGCCAGCGCCGTCCCCGGCCCTGTCTGTCCCCAGCCTCTTCCTTCCGGAAAAAGCGGGCCTTGCTCTCCCCTGGGGCTCCCTGCCCTCCTCCAGAAAGGAGGCCCTTCCCAGTCCGTCCAGGTGTGGCAGGAAGCCACCCGGCGGCCCCCCTCCCCGGGCGGACACATGCCCCTGCCGTGTCCGTGTTCCACGCCCGTGAGGCCGAGCACACAGAGGGGGCTCCTGACGTGGGCGAGTCTGTGTTTTCTGGAAGCTTCCAGCGTGCCAGGCCGCTCGAGGGACCCGACTCGGGGCTGAGGAAAGCCCGGGTTCCGGCCTCCGTCTGCCCGTGCGCCCGTGCCCCCGTAGGCCCAGGCGAGGCGGGCCCCGGCAGGTCTGGGGGCAGGGAGGGGCGGGGAGGGGCGGGGAAGGGCGGGTCCCGGTGCCGGGCCCGTGCGGGCACAGGCTGTCCGGAGCCGGGAGGAGGTGTGTGGGTGAGCGCCCGGGGCCCGGCTGATAAGCGGTGCCCAGCCTTGGCACCGGCCTCCCCGC